TTTCATAAGACATTGATTAGACACACACACACATATATATATATATATATATACTGGTGCCGATAAAGTTCGTGTGCACTTTAAAAAATTTATAACTTTATTTGTATTTGTGATAGAAATAATCTGTAAAAAATGTTATAAAGTTTAATGTACCTAGTTTTAAGTATAGCTAAAATAACTAATGTGATTTCAAGCATTACTGTAAATCAGTTGGCAAATGTTTTCCGTGAACTGCAAAATCGTATTACTCTTTGTATTGCTAATGATGGAGGACATGTGGAAACTTAAATAAAATTTCAATAAAACCCTAAAAAATAGAGATTTCTTTCTTTCTAATGCTTTTTACAAATTATTTCTATCGCAAATACAAATAAAGTTATAATTTTTAAAACTGCACACGATGGACAACCTATGGATATATATATATATATATATATATATATATATATATATATATATATATATATATATATATATATATATATATATATGTATGTATATGGGAAAAAAAATGTGACAAGATGGAAACAGTTTTCCTGTGAAGCGTTTACTCATTTAGGGCTTCATAGGACGAAATTTATTATGTTGATACCATTATACATACGTATAAACAAAGGAGGGCACCTCGAGGTGGTGTAATGGTTAGCAAACTTGTCTTGCTAAAACTGTTACGACTGAGTAGTGAGTTCGATCCTCGCGAGGTGCCTCTTACTTTCGGCCTTGTGCCACATCTGAGCTACGCTTTTAAAATTGCTACGTATAAAAGAACGGTGCGGGGTATTTATATATTTTTAATGTCACCGATTGAAGAGCACTGAGAATCTGCAGCCCTTGACTTTTACTTAATGAGGAGAAATACATTGAATGCACTTTCATGTTTCTTCACTCCTCTGATTATATGCGAAGCAAAAGGCTCATAGAATGATCCAATAAAAGAAAAACAGCCCTTCCTGACAAACCCGATGAATCAAAAAACATATATTTCCCTACCAACTAACTTTATCAGATCTACAATTTGAAAGAAGCTATGTCAACGCGACATAATTTTTTTTCACTACTACATTCAAAAAAATGTTAGTCAATACTAAACAAAACAATAACTTAAAACTTGAAGAAGATATTTACTCGATCGCCTGAAATAATTGTCGCAAAAAGACATAAGATATATATATATATATATATATATATATATATATATATATATATATATATATATTGATTTTCCAAGTGTAGCTTGGATGTGCCTCTAGACCGAAAGTAAAGAGCACCCAGTGAGGATCGAACTCACTACTCATTGTAATTGTTTTAGCGAGACAAGTTTGCTAACCATTACACCACCTCGAGGAGCCCCTTTTCTAAGCGTAGCTTAGATGTGGCACAAGGCCGAATGTATGGGACACCTAGTGAGGCTCGAACTCACTTTTCAGTTGTAATTAACCTAGCGAGCTAAGCTTGATAGGCATTGCGCCACATCGAGGCGCCCAAAGTGATTTTCCAAGCGTAGCTCAGATGTGGCACAAGACCGAAAGTATGGGGCACAGTCGTACTCTAGCGAGACAAGCTTGCTAACCATTACACCACCTCGAGGTGCCCAATATATATATATATATATATATATATATATATATATATATATATATATATATATATATATATATATAATGAATTTGGTATGTTCCTTATCTGTCTGTCTGTCTATCTATCTATCTATAATTTTAAATGACTATAAGAACACAAAAGGGAACTTTTACAAAACAACACGTCAAAAGAATTTGTTGCACACCATAATGAGACTGACGACCATCTTGATATAAAAATTTTTTTCTCTGGTCAAACCAGAAAACAATTCACAAATTAAATCCTTCCTAGCTTATAGAAATGGATAGCATATACAGTGGCCAAAAAATGGTCAATGAGTTTAATACTAAAGAATAATACAAAACTGATCCCTCACTTTCTACCATGCTTTTATTTGAATATCTATAAGGAATTTCATCTATAAATTTATAAATGACTATGAGAACACAAAAGGGAAATTTTACAAAACAATACGTCAAATGAAGTTGTTGTACAACGTAACGAGATTGACGATAATTTTGATATAAAACATTCTTCTCTGGTCAAAGGAGAAAACAATTCACTACGACGTAAATGTATAGAAAGTGCCTTGATCACAACGTCATCTACTTTAGATTAATGACCTGTGTCTCTTGCAACATTTCAATATTGCTGTCAGAACTTCTACTACGACAGTGTGGGAGATCTACTAATAAAAGTGATGAAAAGAAAAACAATCTAAATGAAATCGGCTAGATTAAAAAAAGAAAAAATTAAAATTCCCAGCATCCCTCGTTCGTGCGCATGCGTAGTCGCTCCAACATAACACATTTAGTTCGATGAAGCGAAACGCGTCATAAGAAAACATTTTTCAATTGGTCATACATTTTTCACCAATATTGTTCTTGATATATAAAAATATATATCACACACACACACACACACACACACATATATATATATATGTGTGTGTGTGTGTGTGTGTAATATAGACTAATTTAACATGTTCCACTTTTTTTGAATTTTCAAAAGAGAATGAGATATGGAGGAAAAAATAAAAAAAATTCTGGTATTTTTAATTTTGTGTTGTTTGATTTTCAGTGGTTAATCATGTTTCACGGGCATTCGACTTGTTAAACAAACGTTAGCATAATTTGCAGCATTCCGATTCATAATGATATGATAAAGTTATACATTTTAGGCATGCTATATTTATGGGTAAATGTTCTCAGTATCAGAGACCATGAGTATATATATATATATATATATATATATATATATATATATATATATATATATATATATATATATGTGTGTGTGTGTGTATATGGCTTGAAGATTGGGGTCAAGCCTGAAATTAACTCTCGCCGCTCGATGCTGACCTCAGTGTCACTTTTATCTTTACATACGCTCCATCACTGATATTAAGCATTTTATCCATACATATAGCACACCTTAAACAATATTTTACCATATGTAGGCAGACTTTTTTCATTTATACATGTTTCATTAAATATTATAGACAAGTTTTGTCTATTTATTTTAAGTAAATTCCTTTAATATTGTCTGATAAGCTTAATAACATTATCATTGAAAAATGAAAGAAAATCACAATACTGATACATGTTTTTTAATCTTATCTAAGCTTTCGACTTACATAAGCTATTATCAGAGATGACAATTACATTACAATTACATTACAATATAAATTAAACAATACACGGATATAGCAACACTAATAGTCTGTTTTTGTTTGCATGGAAGATTTCCAAGCAACGACAAACTCGTGTATACGAGACGCTGGAAGCGAAAATCGCACCGCAGCTAGGATTAAAACACACACACACACACACACACACACACACACACACACACACACACACACACACAAATAGATAGATAGATAGATAGATAGATAGATAGATAGATAGATAGATAGATAATCAGACAGGCAGACAGATAAAAAACAGACAAAGAAAGAAAGAAAGAAAGAAAAGGATAAATAGATAGAAATGTTATCTTCATACACGCATGTATGTATTTGGGTATTAGTCTACAACAAAGTTTTGATATTTAACAAGAAAATGCCACACGTATGTAGAATATTATCTTTTTTCATAAGCCTACTTAAGAATATCCCCTACCAATTAGATTCCTCAGAATCAATAAGATATATCTATAAACATTTAATGTACTCATTCATATACACATCTATTGTATAGAATCTGCAAAAAAGGCCAACCATTTTTTAAGCATTTTACATTTCCTCAGCACGAAAAACTATGTAAGTCTCCAAATAAAGAACGTTTGATTCGGTAAGAAAATTTGCTGCTCAACTAAGAAAACGCTTTAAAGATAAGAGAAAAAAAATGGCGGAAGAGAACGTCAGCCTCTCGACACATGCGCATAAAGATTGACGCACGGCGGCTGTGTATATTGAGTGAAGAAGAGTAGAAGAAGAATAAATAGGCTAGGCATTCATGGGGAAAGGCACTTTCACGGCTGAATGCTAAGCACGATTATCATCGCGTAAGTGTCGTTTCTTTCTATTAAGCGAGACTCGTCATCATCTTTTCCTACGGTTGAAAAAAAAAGGTGAAAACAAAAAAAGCAAAAAGCAACCTCGCATGTGGAGAGCGATGTTCTTCTGGAAGGGTTCTCTTCGTGGCAGACATTTTCTTGCACCTCTTTTTGTTAGTTGTACTCGAGTTTGTTTAAAGATTTCATTCTATTTTATTTTTTTTTATTTTTCTCTTTTACTTTTCACTCATTTAGTTTTTCTTTATCATTTTCATTTATTCATTCGTTCATTCTTTCTTTTTTTCTTTCTTTCATACTTTCTTTCATTCATTTTTCTTTCTTTCTTTCGCCGGCTTCCTTCCTGAACTAATTTCAATCTTTTTTTTTCTTTTTCAGTTTTGCTTCTGTTACCATTTTATTTGATTCTATATTTATCCGTCTTTTTCTTTCATTCTGCACGGCACGAATCTTTATCTTATGTTTTGCGACATTTTCTTTCTCGAATTTTCTTTATTTATTTTTTTTTGTTTAAATTTTTCTTTCTTTCTTCCTTTCCTTCTTGGTTTTTTTTTTACGTAATTTAATCTTTAATTTTCTTTCATTCTTTATTTCTTTATTTTGCCGAATTTTATTTACTTAGTTAACTGATTTTTTTTCTTTATTTATTTATTTTTCTTTCTTCTCTTTTCAAATAACCCTATTTCATTCTTTCTTTCTTCACATTTTCTTTCTTTCTTCCTTTCTTTCTTTTTGTCTTCAATTTTTCTTTCTGTCTTCAATTTTTCTTTCTCGCTTTTTAAAAATGTTCTTTACTTAATTTACTCAATTCATTCTTTCTTTAATTTTTTCCTTTTTCTCAAATTCATTCTTTCCTTCTTCAAATTTTCTCCCATTTTTTCTTATTTTCATTTCCTCTTTTTTCAATGGTCTTTCCTTTTTTTTGTTTATTTCATTCTTTCTTTCTTGAAATTTTCTTTCTTTTTTCAAAATTTATTTACTTAATTTCTGTTTCTTTCTTCGTTTTTCTATTCTTCAACATTCATAATTTCTGCCACGTCTCACGCCTATAGACACCCATGCACAGATATTCATCTTTCTACTTTCGCTTATCTTGATAACTTGCTGTAAAAGACCTTCCGTAAAAATCTGCACCTATCTATCTATCTATCTATCTATCTATCTATCTATCTCAGTCTGTTCATATCATATCTATCTATCTATCTATCTATCTATCTATCTATCTATCTCAGTCTGTTCATATCTATCTATCTATCTATCTATCTATCTATCTATCTATCTATCTTGGTATGTTCTGTATCTATCTATCTTGGTATGTTCTATATCTATCATCTATCTATCTATCTATCTATCTATCTATCTATCTATACACACACACACACATATATATATATAGCGGGCTGTTCCTATTATCTATCTATCTATCTATCTATCTATCTATCTATCTCAGTATATTCCTATATCTATCTATCTATCTATCTATCTATCTATCTATATATATATATATATATATATATATATATGCACACACACACACACACACACACACACACACACACACACACACATATATATATATATATATATATATATATATATATATATATATATATATATAGCGGGCTGTTCCTTTATCTATCTATCTATCTATCTATCTATCTATCAAGCTCGTTAGGTAGCTATCTAATACTTTTTTATGCATTTCACCCAAAGCAAGGCAGCGGCTCCACTTGTTTGTAGGGGGTTTACATAGAGTGAAGGTGAGAGAAAATAAACTGTGTAGGGGGGGGTGAGTAAAGGACAAAAGATGAACGGCGTTTAAAACATTAGATGATGGTGATTGATGTTGCATTTAAACTGTTGAACATTATAGTTATTAGGGCAGCATGTAAATGGAAGAGAGATCCATAGGCAAGAAAAGAAGCCGTTGGAGTAGAAGTGGCGGTTTCATTTAACTATATCAATGGTAAAAGGGTGGGACCTAGATGCTAGTCTTATTAACACGCTTAAATTTATGTAGTCAGGGCACCAGGGAAAAAGCTGGCAAGAACTGTTGCCATGAAAATATTTATAGAAAAGACTGAGGGAAGCCACGTCACGTGTGCAAGAAAGTGACTGGTATCGAGACGGCAAGTCGGGATCTGACTATGTTGATCTATCTATCTATCTATCTATCTATCTATCTATCTATCTCAGTCTCTTCCTTGCCTATCTATCTATCTATCTATCTATCTATCTATCTATCTATCTATCTATCCGTTCATATCTCATTTTATTCTTATCTATCTATCTATCTATCTATCTATCTATCTATCTATCTATCTATCTATCTCAGTCTCTTTCTTGCCCATCTATCTATCTATCTATATATCTATATATCTATCACAGTCTGTTCCTTTATCTATCTATCTATCTATCTATCTATCTATCTATCTATCTATCTATCTATCACAGTCTCTTCCTTATCTATCTATCTATCTATCTATCTCAGGCGTTTCATATCTAGTATTATTTATCTGTACATAAACATAATATTTAGTTGAATGCGCATATTTGAGTCGTCGCCCTGTTATTTTTTGTTTTGTTTTCGTTTTTTTTCTTTTTAACAATCGAAATTACAACTATCCGCCTCTGCCTTCGAGCATCTTAATAAAGGAAATGTGCCGGCCCGTAAAAGGTTAAGTGAATCTTGCTGGGCTCTTAAGTTCTCTGTGGCCTGAGTTGAGTAATCTACCTTATAGGAGATGGCTGTTTCCCCTAGGATAAAGAAACACAAGCTCGAACCCTGCCAGAGGGAACGTTTCCTTTAATCTTGACTGCACCGAGCGGTGGGGGTGCAATTCATACTAAAAACAAGAGGGCGTCCACTCAAACACGTGGATCTACTGAATAATAGCATTTAAGTAATAAGAGTCATGTTTAATTCTCTCTTTTTTTCTTTCCCTCCCTCTCACCTTTTCTTTACTCTCCCCCTCTCTTCGCCTTCTCTCTCTTACTCTTTCTCTCTTCCACCAGAAAGTCTAAACCATTATATTGAATTTTTTCTTTTTCTTTCTTCCTCTTTTAATATAAAATTTGTTTCACTTTCCTTTCTTTTTTTTTCTCTCTCTCTCTCTCGGTCTGGACAAACTAACTCCATTTATTAAAAAAAAAAACTCAAAAAAGACTTTGGTCTGAATAGATGAATATTTGTATATATTCATGAAATAAATTATAACCGAATGGGTTTTTTAAATCGTCTGTACTTATATATATATGACCTCATTTAGCTCTTGAAAACATATTTCTCTTGAGCACTGTTGAGTGATGGGTTAATTCCCTAAACAACAGCCACCTGCGCTAATGCAAGGCTCTTCAGTAAAATGAATCGAGCACTTTGGCTGATTGGCATTTGTTTACATTCGTAAATGCAATAAGCTAGATTTAGCTGTGTAACTCTATCGAGAGAAGATAGCTCAGTAGTAGAAGCTCTGACAAACACCAATCAGTTGGGTTTCGATCCTGGCTTGAAGCATTCGAATGTCTAGTTGCATTGAGAAGCTGTGATGCAGCGAACCAGTTTATATACTGGATCGGATTTCCTACCGATTTCAACAAAACTTCACAGGACTACGTAAAATTACCTTGCAGTGGTTCTGACAGCGCCAAAATTTGGAAAAACACAATTGTTTTTGCACGAAATCAATTTGAAAACACGATAAAACATGATTCTGTCGCCAGGATGAAGGGGGGACAACTCATATCGAGTTCTACTTATTAAAAAACCCAGATTATGTGTGTGTTTGTGTGTGTGTGTGTGTGTGTGTGTGTGTGTGTGTGTGTGTTTTCGTGTGCTCGTTTATATATGGGATCGGATTTTCTACATTTTTCAACCGATTTCAACAAAACTTCACTTTTTTTGGCAAGTAAGTGTTTCTTATTGTCTTGCACACATTTTTCTTTATTTTTACATTCAGAATGCTTTAAAAATTCCATTTACAAGACAATTGTTTATAATAAAATTCTATTTAATCGATAGACTAATAACGATTGTAAACAATGTTTTTGTTTGGGTTTGACCAATTCGTAAAAAAAAAAAAAAAATTAAGACATGCTTGTTCGTCAACCTTAAACAATAATCTTTGTCAATTTTATTTTTCAGTCTTTATGATGGTCGATACTTGATCTATCTCTTACTGTTACATCCTCGGGCAACGCCGGGCTCTACTGTTAGTATATATATATATATGGTGGGCCATGTATATATATATATATATATATATATATATATATATATATATATATATATATATATATATATGGGCCCCGTTCACTTCCTGTAGTCTGATTGCTGTTTTATTAATGTAAGTGGAAGGATTGTCCTTTGAAATTGTAAATTTCTAATTACAACAAATTAAATATCTGGGAAGTGTTCTAACAGAGGATGGGATGGCTGAAGATGCCTTCCAAAATCTAAATAGAGTAATAAGAGACAGAAAACCTGTGTTAGAAACAACAAAAAAAGAGTATTAAACTGTTACGTGGTGCTTGTTCTCCCATATAGCAGTCAACATTCTCCTTAAAGATGAAAATGAGACTTGAAGGAAAATAAAATATTTGATGAGGATTCCATGGATCGAACCCGTGAGCAACGGTGAGGTTGAAAGCAAAAACGAAACTTATAGATAACATCATCAAGAGAAAGTTGTAATTTCTCGGGAATATAATTTGGAAAGAGGGCTTGGAAAATCGATTTGGAGAGTTATGGAAAAGGCATGCTTTACAAAAGAGAGGAAATTGTGGAGACCCATGATTGCTTGAAGGGATACGGCATATAGAAGAAAACAAAGGGTGAGGGACTGCTTTCTCTAAGAAATATTTATCAAGTTGTGTATTAAATTAAATCTACCTACCAGAAACTAAACAAATTATTAAGAAACAGGAGAATTTCGTTGAGACAAAGAAAAGACTACTGAACTGTTATCAGTCCAACTATATGGATGAAGGAGAGAATAGAAACACAGGGAAGCTGAAATGTTACGTAATATCAATCCACCTATAGCGATTTTCTAAGCCCGGCTTAGATGTGGCACAAGCCCGAAAATTTGGGACACCCAGCGAGGATCGAACTCACTACTCAGTCGTAATTGATATAGTAAAACAAGCTTTCTAACCATTACGCTACATCGACGTGTCCTCAATCCACCTATATGGCAATGAATGGTGAACAATCTTCTCAAAGATGAAGAACAGACTTGAGGCAATAGAATCAGAGAAAAAGAGTACTGAACTGTTTCGTAATATCAATCCACCTATATGGCAGTGAATGGTGGACAATCTCCACAAAGATGGAGAAGAGACTTGAAGCTGCAGAAAGTTTTAGAGAAACTGGAAACAAAAATGAAACTTAAAATCAAGAAGAAACAGTTGAAATTTTTTGGCTATATAATGTGGAAAGAGGGCTTGAATAATTTGATACTCGCAGGAAACATTGAAGGCAAGTAAGAGAGAGCAAAACAATGAATAATTTACATAGCGCGTTTGAGTGAAGTATGGCGGACTAAGGTTTTAAAGAGATAACAAAAGCGAATTTGTTAACAGCTACAAAATTATGGAAAGCCATGATCGCTTATGATCTGAATTGACAAGGTACATAGAAGAAATTGGTTCTGAACATAACTTCTAATTTTCCATCCATACAGCTTCCTTGTTTCGCCATTATGGCTACATACGATAAACAACAAGAAACTGTAGTTTTTTGGGTTTTTTTAAAATTGGCCTTTAAATTCATTTTTTCTGAAAAATCATCTTTTTTGTCCAATGAAAAGTTGAAAGAACTAAATGATTTATCGATAATATTTTTAAATAAGGCATTTAAAAAAAATAAATAGTGTAACAATCTCCTAAAATACTAAAAGATGTTTAGGTAACATCAATTATTTTCGAATTTTTTTTAGGTTTTCTTTCTTATTTTGACATTTCTTTTTACCGTTCGAATTTATTTCTTTCATTTTCTGTTCTTTCTTTTTTTATTTAATATTTTTTTCCTTTTCTTCTTCGATTTTTTTTTATTAATCACCATTTTCTTTTCATTCTTATTCGTCTAATTACTATTTTAATTAATTGATTTTTATTTCTTTTGTTTTCGTTCACACACTTATTTTTCTGTCATTTTTCTCATTCCTTTCGTCATTTCAATCTATTTGCTTATTTTGCTTTACTCTTCTCTTTTCTTTTTGTCTTTCTTTTTATATCTTTCGTCCTTTTTACTTTCTGCCTATTTCTTCGTTCTTTTTTTATTTTCTTTCTTGTTTTCTATTTCTTTCTTTCTTTCTTTCTTTCTTTCTTTCTTTCTTTCTTTCTTTCTATCTTTCTTTCTTTGTTCGTTCCTACAGCAGTTATTTCCTGATGATGTAAGATTCACTTCACTGATGTTCATCCTTTCTTTCTTTTTTTTTTTTTTCTTTAATTCTTTTATTTCTATATCTTATTTCTTTCATCCATTTGTTTTTCTTTTCCTCTTTTTCTTTCTTTCTTTCTTTCTTTTTTCTTTCTATTTTTTCTTTCCTTTTTACTTTCTTTCTTGCTTTCTTTCTATATATTTTTTCTTTTTACTTTCTTTCTATTTCTTCTTTTCTTTTTCATTCTGTTTGCTTTTATTTCTTTCTTTCTTTCTTTCTTTCTTTCTTTCTTCAGTTTTTCATATTAATCATATCATCAAAATTTTTTCATCTTTTTCTTCCTCTATTTCTATTTCTTTCCTCGTCCTTTTTCTTTCCGTATATTTCTTTTTTTTTTCTTCGTTTCTTTATTTTCCCAACTAATTCGTAAAATTTTCTTTCTACTCTTGATTCTTTCTTTTACTTGTTTCCTCCTCCTCTTCCCCCTTTTTCATATTCCTTCCTTTCTACTCCGATAGCGTTCCCCCTTTTCCTTTCTAACACGTTATATACTCCTCCTATCCCCCCATTTTTATATTCCTTCCTTTCTACTCCGACAGATTTCCCCCCTTTCCTATGTAAAACTTTATCTCCTCCTCCTCCTGTTCTCTTTTTTTCATATTCGTTCCTTTCTACTCCGATAGAGTTCCCCCTTTTCCTTTCTAACACTTTATCTCCTCCTCCTCTTCCCCCTTTTTCATATTCTTTCCTTTCTACTCCGACAGAGTTTCCCCCTTTCCTTTCTAACATCTTATCTCCTCCTCCTTTCCCCGTTTTTCATATTCCTTCTTTTCTACTCCGACAGATTTCCCCCCTTTCCTTTCTAACACCTTATCTCCTCCTCCTCTTCCCCGTTTTTCATATTCCTTCGTTTCTACTCCGATAGAGTTTCCCCCTTTCCTATCTAACACTATATCTCCTCCTCCTTTTCCCCCTTTTTCATATTCCTTCCTTTCTACTTCGACAGATTTCTCCCCTTTCCTTTCTAACACCTTATCTCCTCCTCTTCTTCTCTCTTTTCTTCCTACCTATCTGCATGGTTCCGTTCCATCCTCGTTTTAGATCTTCCATGTTAAATTCCTCTCAC